CGCGCTCAGCCGCGCTCAGCCGCGCTCAGCCGCGCTCAGCCGCGCTCAGCCGCGCTCAGCCGCGCTCAGCCGCGCCCAGCCTAGGGCGGCCCTCGGGCCCCTCAGAGCACCACGTGGGGCTTACGTCAGGCCAGGTCGGGGGAGGCCGCCGCCCGCGCCGCTCCAGCGCGCCCGGGAGGCAGGCCGCCGAGCAGCACCGCTGCGTTGTGGGGTTGCCAGCCTCGCGCCGCGCCGCGCGCAGCAGCAGCCCGCCCAGCCGCCCGTTGCATCACGGGACATGTAAACCGGGTGAAGCTGTCCCAGTCCCGTCCCGTCGGAGGCCCCCGTCAGGTCGAAACGAGGCGCTCCACAAATGACGTAACGGGTGGCCGCTCGCCGGCCTCACCTCACGGGACCGACGACGGCGGCCTCGCGGGCCCCGGCCCGGGCGGGTCAGGGAGCGCGTGCCGCCGCGGGGGCGGGGGTGCGCCCCCCTGGAGCTGGTGGGGGGGGGGCCAGGAAGAGGAGCAAAGTCTACAAGCAAGTGATCGCGAACCGTTTGCAAGTGCGACTAGGAGGACATACGCAAGTTCGGTGGGATTTGCTGTAGTCCCCACCCCCTCCAGCACCACGAGGTGCCCCCCGGGGATTCCGTGGCAGCCCATGGTCGCCTCATGTCAGGCCGATTGTATAACTCGTCATGGGCCAAACAATGGCGACAACGCCGGCCGCGTGCGGCACGGGCGAGTACTACAAACACTTCGGGAGCTTGACGGGAGACTCGAGAGGAAGATCCTCAGTATGTCACAGGAAGTCATAGGAGCAGCCTTCCTGTCGCAACATGTCGCACCGCTTGTTCAGTCAGCTACCCCTTTCTCCGCCGTTCTACAGTACTCCTGACAACATTCCGTTCGCCGCGGTGACTTTAACGCCGGTAACAACCTGATCGGTAAGGGGACCGCGCCCTATCTTTTGGCAATCCTAATCGATTGAAAGATGGGCCGGGATTTGTAATTATTCGATGGTCATAAAGTGGAATAAAATAGCGGAAAAAGGGGGGGGGGGCGCGTCCCGCGTGTTTAATGGATTCTCACATGATCTTGGAAAACCACGGGAATACTTCGTTCCACGTGAGATGTGGGATGCAGCTGGAGCTGGGTTGGTGAACTTACCGCGAGACTAGAGAGGTATCGCACCGAGTCGACGTACAACCCACACACCGACACTGGCACTGGCACGTCACTGACACAGCACACACAAACTCAAACTCACGCGCGCACACGGGGCACTCGCGACAAACACGATCGACAAACGCATGCACACGACGGACACGGGCAGCACTGACGGCGCCGCGACCCGCAGCGCGGATATATACGCGGCGCGAACTCGGGGCGCCCCCACCACAACGGGCTCACCCCCACACCGACGGGCCGCGCCGGGCCGGGGTACCCTCCCCGGGCCCCGGGCCTACCGCCGGTAGCCTGGGGTACCCCGCCGCCGCCCCACCACCGCCCCGCCCCACCTCAAGGACAGCCCAAGGCCACGGCGAGGCCCGGCCGGGGCAAGCAGCGGCCCAGGCAAGGCCGCGTGGGTGCAGATGGGGACGGTGATGGCACTGGAACGTGTTGGAGGGCGGCGCGGGGGCCGCGGGCCTGGACAGGAGAAAGTGTTGAGCCGAGTGGCTCAGCTGCGGATGGATGGATGCGAAGCGCAACCCGCCCGCGCCTGCTTCTAGGAGGAGGGGCGACCAGTACAGCGCGCGGTCCAGGAAGGACGTCGCGCCGAGCGCAGCAGCGGGCCGGACCGCAGCCTCCTTGAGGGTAGAAGGGAGCGAGCTGGAGCTAATAATCGACCACCCAAGGCTGTGGGGCCCGAGACCCGAGGGTTGGGCATCTGGTCACTTTTACTCTGCCTGAGTCTGAGCCTCCTGGAAGATTGGATTACAAGTAAACTGGACGCACCTTGCATTTGCAGGCGCCCCGCCGAGCATCACGCAGCCACGTGGGTTTGTTGCGTTAGCCTGCACGCGGCCCTCTATCGCCCTTCCACGCGGGTTGCATCAGACAGGGTGAGCGAGAGAGGTTGGCGCGCGCGCGGCGGTGGCGTCGCATGAGAGATTGGCATGGGTCGCGCCCGCATCGCGCCGCTCGCAGCCAATACTGCTCCAGTTGTCGGCAAGGTCCCCGCAGCATTGACCCAGCGGCAGGAGCAGCGGCAGGCAGCAGCGGCGGCCCATGCCGCCCGCTACGCCGCGACTTTGTCGCAGCGCCAGACGCACAAGGGCGGGTCCCCGCCGGCCCCCGGCCCGGCGGAGGGACCTCGAGGGGCACACAATGCCTAATGTTTCGGTGAGGGGAGTATGTAAACTTTTACGTTTAAAGCTGGCGCTACTTTGGAGTCCGTGGATGTGTCTGTTTGATTAGTTTCTCCTAATAAATCAGTTGCAGCTAAAATAGAGGGCCGGGAGAATAACATGCCACCCACTAAAACAATAACGTCAATCGTGCACGGCCACAAAGCAAGGAATCGCCCAGAAAGCACGGCCGCTTTTCTCAGATTAATTCGCAGCATCGCAGGAGCTCGGCGCCTGCGAGAAACGGGGTAGGCCACCCCGCAGTACACGCATGCACTGCAGGCGAGACGTTGCCTACCCACCAGGCGCTCTGAGAGCTGCTTGCACCGGCTCAACTTGGCAGTTGTTTCGCACGGCGAATGACGGGCGCACCACTTTCTGGATGACCATGGTACCGGGTGTAACTGTGAATACGCAGCCGTGTTGCGGGTTTGCTCACTCTTTACACCCGTAGGGCCATGGCTCCTGCGACCATACTGAGTATGCAATCCCGCAACACTGCTGCGTGTTCACAGTTACACCCGGTCCGATACGAAGTGAGAGACAGAAAATTGAGGGGCTACGACAGCGCTACCGCGAAGTACATTCAGTCTACTCCACCCGCCAGGAGCCCCTGGGAGGTAGTCCGGCCTGTTAAACAAGGGTGCATTGCGGGCTTGCCTACCCGCCAGGCGCTTGGTCGGCCGGGTCAACACAACACAATCGACCGCCGCCAGAGCGGCGACAACAGCGCACCAACCGACACGAGAAGAAGTAAATCACGAAGAAAAGAGCACCACTGGCGTGCTTCGCAATGACAACCGGTACACATTGCACTACATCTTATCCGCTGGTGGAATTGAGCTGTGGCAAAAAGTCGCTGGCAACCATTTCGTGCCGTTCACGAGGGGGTTGCGCCACGGCGCAGCCTCGGTCTTGTCCCCACGCCCTGCTACAACCCTATTCAACCCCCCGGCCCTGCGCCCGGCCCGAGTTCGACACGCCGCTCTGTCCTGTCCGCCGCCCTTTCCGTACACAAAGCGGCCGGAGCCAGACGCTGCGCATGAAAACTGTGCCACCGTATCTGCGGCCCGCGCGCGGCGCCGCGCCCGCTTCGCTGCACCGAAGGATAACGAGGCGTCGGCGGCCGCGGAAAACTTCGCAGTTGTTGGTGAATGGAAGCGTCAGCCCCCTCTCGCCTCGCCCGACACCCACCAGCCGCCGGCCTGGGGCCGGCCCCCTCCTGCCAGGGGACCGGCCGGGACCGGCGCTCTCGCCGCGAGTACCCACCGTCTGAAACTGAAACCTTCCAAGTGCGTCTCCCTCTCCCTCCATTAACACGCTGCCACCCTAAGGAAGAGCTCGGGCTCCAAGGGTTGTTTTCGGTCGCCGCAGACCCTCAGCTCCCTCCACCTCCACCCCCTCCGGCTCGAGGTGCCCGAAGTGCATTCCGGAGTCGTCGCTCGCTCCCCGTCCGCGCCCCGCCCGGCGTCGGCGTGCCCCCCGGTGCCCGGTGTGCTCCGGGCGCGATGCGCGGCGCTGCGCCCGGGTCCCGCCCACTTTAAGCGCCTCTCTTTTGCTGACTAAAGCCCTTTCACTCTCGCTCTGCACAGTCACACACAAGATGCAGCGGCGGCGGCGGCGGCGCGCTGTTCAAATTCGCGTAACTTTCCAACGCTCGCCCGCCTCCAGGTCCGCGCGGGCCTTGCTCAATGTTGCCGACGTTGTGATCGCAATGGAATGCCTTATGTGTGGTTTTCAAATGTTTCTTTAGTTTTCGTCGTCATTTGAAACAATTTTTCCCCCCGACATACAAAACAATGCTGAAGCCCAATTAGACACTCTTCCAGCAGCAGGCCGCTCTCATTCCACGATCCGATGAATCAGCCCGGTCTGGGGCGCCGTGCGCGACGGGGTCGGCCGCGCGCCGGGCCGGGCCGGGGTATACCCCAAGGGTAGCTCGCCGCCGCTTCCTGTGAAAATGCCCCGTCGAGGGTCAGGTTGTATCAGTCTGAGTGTGCGCGCGCGAGTCTCTGTGTGTGTGTGCGTGTGTGTTGTGTGGCATTGACTCGGTCCACAGGCGAGAACGCCCATCTCCCTCTCCCCCGCGGCGTGAGAAACATTTCGGGGCTGGCAGCAAGCACAATCACACTCGGGGCGGACAGCAGCCGAGGCAAGAGGGGCAGGAGCAGCAGCAGGAGACCCCGGTGCGCCGGCTGATGCTGCGCGACTTTCGCTTAGGAGGAGCTTTTGTCAGATACAGTATCGGCCCCGCCTCGGCCGCCCTGGCTCTGCTCTCGCGTCCTCGACGTGTCCGTCCGTATTGCATAAAACCGTATCATGTAATAATCATAAAAAGAATTTTTCGGTGGAAACTCGTGCTCGGGCCGCCCGTTAATGGGTAGGGGGCGGGTTGGCATTGTTGTTGTCGTGAGTAATTTATGCCCCGGGGCGCCGCCGTGTGGCACGGCGGGCACGGCACGGGAGAGGCGGGGACAGCCTCCGAAAGAGGTTGCAGGAGGCAGGGAGCGGGGCCCTGCCCGCCCCCGTGCAACAGTTGGGGGCCGTCATTGAACCGACAACACCTCATCGCCATCGACTCCGACCGTCCGACCCGTGTCGCCCGTCCGCTGCCATGCAGACATCCGGCCTTATTCTCTCAAACGGGCCTGCCTCCAGGGGCGTGCGGGCGTGCGCGGTTGAGCTGACAAGGCGGGGCGGTGCGGGGTGAGGCGGGGCAGTTCGGGTGGGCGTCAGGTCGCATCGTTATTGGCGGGCACCGCGTTAAAACGCCGTCGCGACGTTGCGGGGCCGTTACACGACGGGTAGGGTTGAGG